CGAACCTATATACTTGACATCGATAGTAGGTCAATTCCTCGCCTATTGTTCACATCCGAGTACTTGTTTATAATGGCATTAGTCGGTTACTGGGGTGATCATGCGATACGCTTGGCGATAAACACCTGGTTTATCCTTTGACTTACAGATTGCAAGATTTAATGCAACCTACACAGATATCAAGTAGATGAAATAAAACATGAGTTATTTGATAATGGCATCTTTTTAATGACGTCATTAATATTTTTATTATAATGAACGTCATTTCTTCCTTTTAAATTTAATAACGTCCAATAGATATATATACAGTAGATAAATCTCTGTATACAACTTGCAGACACATTAACCATGTTGTCAATATACATGTACATGTAACTGAACTCTATTAAGTACTTGCTTTAAATTTCTACAGAGAAAAAATAATCCGCTGATGGATTTTCTCTCTCATTGTGGATTTGGTCTATGATAATTTCTTTCAACTCACAATGTTATGTTAATTTTAACATTGTTAACGTTCCTAGGTTTCACATTCCCTTTTTTCTCCACGTGTGTATATTTCATTTATAATCATGTAGTCGATCCGCTATGGTAAAGCCTGTTATAAGAATAATGATGTTCGCTATTGCAGAGCCTCTTATAATGCTTACCAATTTTCTGGATATACATTATGAGGTCGCATGACATGATTAACGGGGACACTATAACCACTTTAAATATCCCCTACGAAAATGGGCTTGTTTATTAAGCTCATTGGCGACCTACACACGTTCAGTTTTGACGGGAACTACATTTTGTAACATGATCATGGCGGATTCCATGTGATTCTCATGATAATCTCTCCTTCCGGAGCACTTGGTTTCGCCCGCTCGCGAGGACTTATCGGGGATGCTAGCGGTCAAACTGTTAAAAATCCAAAATAAGTCTTATCTACTGTTGAACAAGTATGTGTGTGCTTGTTTTGTGTATGTGTGTGTGTGTGTGCGGTGTGTCTGTGTTATTCAAATTTAGAGAAGTACTAGTCAATTTGTATCCTATAGCTAGTCATTTGTGTATATTATGATCCGAGATGAAAGCTACATACACAGATATATAGGTGAATGGATTCAGTTTGCCAAAAGTGAATTACAATGCATCGTGCAGCTGTTCGTCGTTCTAGGACTAATTGGTTGAGGTAGAAATACTTTTCCCCCCTTAATAGTTTCAATGCAGTTAAACTCATTGTATGCATCATAAGCTCTCTTTTTACAAGTTTCCTTTCTGTCATTTTATATTTTAGCACTAATCAAATTAATAATATGGCTGAACTTATTTCTTTGTATACGAGCTTCTAAATTTTGATCTTTAGTTGAATTAGCAAAACATATTTGAATAGTTCATTTACTGAGGATATGAATGATAAAGAAGATTTGCGAGGTAAACATTAGTTCAGAGTGGGGATTATTGTTAAATGCCTTCATTATTTCTATATTCTCGATATCTAAGAATAAAGAATGGCAAAGTTACGATAACCTCAGCGTACCCCCAATCTGTATGCATCTTAATCAATCATAAAAGTGGTAACAAGCTGCAGTAATGAATAGAAGGAACCTTTAGAAACCTCACTGTGGTTGAATACATGAATTAACACTATATCACTCTTCTTGTTAACAGTTTTTAATAAAAATGAAAGTACATGTTAATGATAAAACTAATCAGTTATCACACTTTTCATCCGAATATTGCATACTCCTTGTTAAATACTTAAAAAATAAATATTTGCGAGAGTTAAGTGTCAGAAACGGCAGATAATGACGTTTTTCGTTATTCAATGGGCCATAACTCCGCCAAATAAAGTCTGCTGAAAGTGGTCATCGTACTTGTCCCTTCAGGCATTTAACCCTGTGACCTAGTTTGAAGAAAACCGGTTAACATTTGTTGTAGTGACTACACAGAAACAAAACCCAGCAGATCTTTACGTTTTTCGCTATTCAAGGGGCCATAACTCCGCAAATGGAGTCCGCTGAAAGTGGTCATCGAACTTGGCCGAGCCCTTAAGACATTTAACACTGTGACTGAGTTTGAAGGAAATCGGTTAACATTTGTTGTAGTTATTGCATGGAAACGAAGCGCGGCAGATAATTACATTTTTCATTATTCAAGGGGCTAAAACTACGCCAAATGGGGTCCGGTAGAGTGGTCATCGAACTTGGCCGAGCCCTTATATTAAGGCATTTAACCCTGTGACTAAGTTTGAAGAAAATCGGTTAACATTTGATGTAGTTATTGCACGGAAACGATGCGTGACAGACAGACAGACAAACCCAAATTTATATCCTCCGTTTTGGTGAAAACAAAAACAAAAATCAACATGCTTATATTTCAAAATTCTAACGGCTCCGTTGTATAACTGCTCCTTTGAAAAGCCATATTGTTCAATAAACAAGGAAAGCAACTGAAGGAGAAGAATAGTCAGTAATGTTCTGGAATATAAGCTCTGGAGGACATAAACGATCGATGTGGTCGACAGAATTTACCTATAGAACAAACAAAACGTTTTCAATCCTTATCAGATTAAACGAATAAGCTATGGTTATATTTATGTAATTAGTGTATATAAAATTTTCAAAATGTATTTGTATGAGTATATTGCATGTGTCATAGTATTAATTGATTCATTCATATCAACAAACAAAGTAAGCTGAGAGCTTGTATACTCCACCCGCACCAGAAATTGATTGATGTCGTAGACATAAAACTACTACTTTGAAATCAATAGCTGTATATTACTTTTGTTGTCTGTGATGCCACAAAACTCTGCACTGCCTAAATTATAGTCATGCGTTTTATACGTCACAAGATATCATTCAGAAAAAAATCCTTACTTTTGAATGCAGATATTTTTCTTTCAATAAAAGCAGAGAATGTTTTGAAATATTGACAATTTTACAATTGACAATATGAGTTTCACCAAAATTTGAGATGTTTTTCCATAGGGAATGGACGTACAAGGGTCGGTAACGACGGTCATGTTTTTGACGTAATTTGGTTATCAGGATTGGCCGCTATAATATAGTATGATTTCGTCAATAATGTACTGTAATGGAACAAATACGAATACGACACAAAATTAGTATAATCGATTTAATCTTGATTGACAACAAATCATCAACAGTAATGGTGACTATCCTCATGTCTTAAGATGGGCAACTATGGGTGACCACATTGCATTCCCATTAGCGCTCGCCAGTGTATTTGGGTTTATTGTAAACAGAATAACATATCACAGGGCTCCCCAGTAATTGGTTTTGTTAAGGAAATTGGGGCGCATTCGCGATGAATGAATAAATCAGATATGACATCAAATTCTCATTACAGCAACACGCAACGTTGTTTCTGTGACATTGCTGTCATTGTGGGTGATGAAGGGGGACATCTAGACAGATGTGGTCATAGATACATCAGTCAAATCGAGGACGTTACATGGTTAATCAACATACTAAAATAGAAAAACGATACATATTCACAATGCCATGCGAGAAATTTTACCAGAAGAGGAATTACTATTCGATATAGAATTCGATACAAAAAATAATAAGTCTGACATTGTTTTTTTACAACCCTCGAAAAGTTCGTCCAAGCTCTTCTTAGATACATAATGTACCAAAACGTTGACAGATATGCCGTTTTCTAACTGTACAGCGATAAATCGAGTATCATCCGTAGCTTGTAATATAATTTGAAATAAGAAAATTAAGCCTCATTCTTATATAGTAAAATAACTCAAAAACGGTTATAAAGACAAAGTCATAAAACATATTTTAAAGGTACTTTCAAAACCTCAGCCTTTGAACTTATTTGTTTTACTGGCGCTATACCCCATATCACAGTCGTTACATCAATACTGATTTAAGTAGTAAACATAATGCCGGTGGGTCATGTCCAACAATAATTTGGATATCTTTTCGGTAGAAATTCACATACAGAAAAGGCGCTTCACAGAGCTATGCTCTTACGTAATTATGCCTGGGTTTATTCAATATTTGATCAATGTTTCTACTGGACCTTGATTAAATTATGATAATAAATTGCACTCTTAAAATACACCAAACCGCACTAGAACGTTCATAGATTGAATATGTATTGGGGAAGGGGATCCCAGAGTAGTTTCATGCCGTCGTTGTTTAAATATGATTCTTCGACGCGAGCGGTTTACATAGCCCATCACTTCAAAAGTGTTGCATATCCCCTAATCCCGATTTAAATATAGATTTCCTTGAGCTTATCCAGAAAAAAGGCACCGCTGGGAGCCTCTTCTGCCGTGGCCCCATCTTATCTTCAACTCTGCCTGCCTCAGCCACTAAAGTTTGGCGCCACCCCTCTTCATTCAACCTTCTACACCACTGCCACAGATTGAAAAAATACATGCCTACACTACTACATGTACGTTGTATCACAACTGTATGCCACAGTATTATGTCACCGATATGTCACCAACACCAGGGAATCCTCAAGAAGGCAGTATATTGATGTTGTAGAGACATTGTTGTGGTGTTAACACTATCATAAATATGCCATATTGTCTTTCTTCCCGATAATCGTTTTCCGGAACGCGTGATGCCTCACTATATGTTTCCTTGCAGGTGCTCCTTGCACCGACTAATCGGAGAATGGATTCCAATCTAAACATGGTCCTCTACAGCATATAGAAAACTGCTACGTGATGATATCTTTTTATACATGTGTATCTTTAGCATACTGTATACAGGGAACTTTTCGCTGCAGTTGAATTTCCGTCATTTTCGCCCTCCGTAATGAGGGCGAAACCATCATTATAGCGAATTTTAGTAAGACGTTAATATTTTGTATATTGTTGAGACATGAAGGCTACTGTAAGTTAACACTTGTTGAATATGAATTGTAACGGCTAAGGGCGAACATTTGACTTGGCGAAGGTTTCACGGTATGCAGTATTTTAACATCAGTGTTTCGTGATTCTATTTTGCTAGGTTGTGTATGGACTATCAATCATATTGCGAGAGCTGTATCTGGACGGTTCTATCTGGACTTTCAGATTCGTTTTTTGCCATGGAACACGGCAAGAATGGATAAGCGAGCAATTTGACCCTTTCCCGGAAAGACTTGTACATACAGGAGTACACAAAAACGTTGGTGAAACTGTTACTGTTGGCCAGCCACATGGTTGTAAATTTAACAGATGGTGGGATGGTGTTGATATCAAACAAACTGATACTGACCACTTCCAAGACGTACGGCCCCCATACGATGAAATAAATGGTTGATGTTACGATGAGTAACTTCACCGCCTTGATGTCGTTGGTACGAGCTGCCGAATAATGTTTGTTCCGTCGAGCTACCGAAACAACTTTACGCATCACGCTTACGTTCGTGAATATTAAAATGGTTCCGGACAGAACAGGTATATAGACTGCTGTGACAACACAAAACCACTTATATTCCCAGTACAATCCGCATATCAGCTCCTCCTCGCTGAATTGGTAGTATATAAATGAATCTTTTGTTGGTAAAGGCAGGAAGAAAGTTGACAAAGCCACAATCCACAGACACGACACAATAATGTATGTCCGTTTAACAGTCAATAAGGACCGATATCTCAATGGTTTTTTAATGGCAAGGTACCGGTCAATGCTTATCAAAGATAAACTCCAAATAGAAATGGTGACCGAGGTTCCATGGATTATCCCCGCTATCTGACACCACACTGGTCCGTATGGCCATTCCCCCATGGCAACGACGACAGTGCAAGGAAAACAGGACACCAAACCAACCAAGAGATCACTAAAACTCATGTTGAGGAAACATATGCGTGTTATCCGTGGTAGCTGTTTGGTCCTCGAAACAACAAATATATTTAAAATATTCGTCAATATAATCATCATTGATATAAAGGCAACGAAGGTGATTTTCACATATTTTGTGGGGTCATTTAAGAAGGTGTACCTCATTTGATTAGTAGCATTGTGTTGTGTAACTGATATATTCCACTGACACGTTGTTACGTTGTGTATGTCGGCCATTTCAGGAGATACCGGTTGCGTTTACCTCTCTTCATTCCTAGATGACTTTCTCAGGTGGTGCTACAGAAACAAGAAAAGAGAAAAAGGCATAAATAAAACTGCTTAATTTCATTTATTTAGGTGAATATATTTCAATTTATTATCCTTTTTGACGGATGGCGTTGTTGAGTTAGAAACAGTACTTTTAAGACTTATATGATCTAATAATTTAACTTCCCCTATAATGATTTGGTTACAATACCATAATAATTCAAAGCTTATGTCATTGTCATAAAATTGGACCAACAGATACAGTATTTGACTCTACCCTTCTATGTTAAGTGTATCAATTCAAATGCAACTCGCAATTAACACGCTATTTTTATTATCAACAGAAAGTACAAGAAGTACCGAATGACGCTTTAGTCACATTTTAGACCTTCACCTATGTTGTGAAGGAGACGGACGACTGTAAACCAGCAAGGACAGGAACACAAGTGTGAGATAATTTTGTCCTTAGTAACGCAGATATTGAACTTATATTTTCCCGATATTTATATACGTGAATTGTTGTTGAAGGCAAAATGTTACGTTACAACAAAGGTGAGTAGTATGTGAATTCATATATGGATCATTGAACAGTGACCTTGGTTCAGTTATTAGGCATCAGTCTGAAATATTTGCCCTTGACCTTCATCGATAAATAACACTATAATACATAGAGAATCTCTTTGTTACATCATGGCTATTATCCACGTTAAAATACTGGCTGATATTCAAATAAATGCTTGTTAATGTATAAAATCTTCGGTTATTCATTAGAGGAAATACAGCTTATAGTTTGAGTTCAATTGGTTCGTTGACCTTACTTTCAGTGCTGACTGTAAACGGACATGGTAAACATATTCTTACGCATTTCGCACTTGAAACATGACTCTAAATTACGACTGCCTGTATTGGAGATTATGCGTATTCATTTTTAATGCTTAAAGTATGGTTGTCTCGTTTCTTAAATTGTAATTGCGCTAGTTATGATATATTCGAAAATGCCCTTAATTGTGAGTGAACTTTAATTGATTCGTTAATAGTTCTTTAGTGAGTCAATCCTCCAAGCGAGTAAGACTTATATGTACGTTACATTGTATGTACAAATGAAGTTTCACTAGGTACTTCAATGTAAAAAGTAAAACGGATATAACAATACATAGGGTTTTTTATTACTTTTTGAGTGATCCGAAGATTAATTATTAACGTACTAGATGACAGATTTAATAGCACTTTAGTTTATCATTAAATGCATTAGATAATTCTTGATGAGATAAAACATAGGTTATTTTTCACTATATTTATTGAGAAGTAAGTCAATTTCTTTTCGAAATCATATGATATAAAAAAATAATAACCTACGAGCAAAGAAGAGATTCGTGTAATACAAATATCAATAAATAAGTACAAAATATACTACTTACCTCGATGATGATCAGCCTATTGTTATTCATTACAATGTATCAGATTGCTTTGGAAGCAAATGGTGTCCCAACCAATCAGCCCACAACGACACTGCAGTTACGCCATCTAGCGGCGTTAGTGTAGAAAGGTTGATATTAACTCAATCGATCCATCTTGACATGTATAAGATATCAAGATTATACTAACAATGTTACCAGATTCGAGAAGACGGTCTTAATAGGAATAAGATATACCACCATGGCCTTGTTTTGTCAATAGAGTGACAGTTGTGCAGATGTGTGAGAGTATGGGACCTGAACAACACCACGTGATTGCTACCCACCTGTCTAGTCTGTGGTGAATGAAACCGCTACGGTACTAATAGTAGTCACCAAGCAGCTGGTGGTCAATAAAGGTTGTTGAGCATGTCATTGTTAAGCTGCTTGGTGTATCAGTAGAATTACATTGTGGTTACCCAATTAAATTCGTTTAAAATAATCAATTGATGTATATGTTCATGGATAAAATGTAAATTGTTGTCATCATTTATACACAAACAGTTGACATAATATATTATCTACACCAACTGTTTTCAGAAAAAACATACATCAACTGTTGTCATCATATCAACACAAACTATTGTTATCAATATATATACCAACTGTTGTCAGTTGGACGAATATTTTGTTTATATAACGTTAAATATTATTAGATAATGCATTCTTCGGGCAAATGCCACATACAAATCCTTTTTGTCACGTATATTCATGATCACATACTGTTTCTTTCGTAAGCCGTCTTTCACATGGCCATCTCGAACTCTAGTGTTCACAATATCTTTGCATTATCTTGGTGTATCTTTGAATAGTTTGGCTGCGTATTTTATTTCATCGTTTTGTATTGATTAATAAAAGTTACACAGATGTAAGTTTCTTATATGGACTTAAGTTATGATTAGAATGTCAACGTCAAGAGCGTAAGGTCAAAGTCACGACGACATGTTGTAAGTTTCCAGATATATTTTTATTTCATACTAAATTCGTTGTGTTGTTACACATCAAAACATCGTTAATTATGGTTGTTTTTTTATATGTTCATTCATTTATTCTGTTTATATTTTTTTCTAATGGATAGTTTAATTACAAGGTATATAATAGAGCAACAAGTATGACTTAATATAACAACTGGTTGTCATAGTTTGTAAAGGAATATTTCGATGGAAGGATAAATGGTGAACTTTCCTGAAAGTTGAAATAGGACACAGGAAAAAACAGAACACTTGTAAGTTTACTATATATGACACAGTAATGCTTCACTTATATTGTAATAGCTACATTATCTACCTGTGATAACGAGATATAATGTGGCATAATTACGCAAAAAATGTTCGTAACCACGGGATAACTACCTCGCTATTTCGAGGTAACTAACGTGTAGTTTCAACAACAAGTACATATTTCAATCGTTCTCCACGTTGTGCGCTTCTCTCCGCACAAATGTGCGATTTGGTAGAATTAGTTGTTCAATATTACCGAATGAAACAATCCGGAGCCCTGGTATGGAATCAGGAACACTGTATATATCAAGAGCGGGTTTAGCTTCCAGGTAACAGAACATGTAAATAACATTGTATGATTGACTGGAGTTTTACCCGACCCGTGCCTTACAAAGAGAGATGATATGCGATACCGTATGGCCGCCATGAAAGCATAACTGGACGTTAAGTATTAAGTTATTTGCATTCGTTTTGGTCAATAGCTGTTTCGTGGTCATATCTTTCGAAAAGGACGTTATTGAGCTTTATAATGTATTACACAGGAGTGAGAGCCCCCAATACGAGGTAGGTTTTTAAATACTAAAAAAGTGTATATTATAAACAATACATTCAAAGCATTGTGATGCCAAGCCCTCAAATCTAGGACTAGACAAGGCCTAAGAGGACATATGGCTCTGGGCAGAGCGAATAGTGGATGGGTCAATGCGGACGTATCGCATAAAACCATCGGAAGACAATCTGCCCAAGGTTTGAAATGAATTGTCCTCCACGCCTGCTGCAGCTGCAGCTGCAGATGTTGCAGCACCTATGCGAAAATAGTGGCCACTAAAAGCTTGGGAACTAACACCACAGGCTGTTAAAGTTTTGTTGAGAAAATTTAAAAAAGGTTGACGCTTTAAAGGCTTAGTGAAATCCACTGTTTCAACAAATAAAGGAGAACTAGGTATTGCACCTTGAGAACCCCTAAGTTGTATGTAAGTATGAATTGTACTTACTGGGAACAAAGCACTGTTTTCAAACACTTTGACTGCGACACCTTATCTGAAAGGGTCTGTCTTAGAAGCTGCCAAGTACAAATTAAAACAAGACTTGTCAGGGTATACAAAAGAAATCACAAATTTGAATATAATTGTTGTCGGACAGAGCTTGGCTAATAAACTCGCCACAACGCAAGAAACCATAAAAAAGATGTCTTGAATGCACATGTTAGCATAAGGCTAGTAAAAGAATCAAATAGTCCTGTTTCACATGCAAGAACCTCACACAATTTAAACAGCACATTGTATGTAATAGGAAGACGTTTCACGGTATTGTTCACTTGAGATTTCTTGGTTGCACGCATAATGTAAGACAGGCTGAGCGTATCAGCGATTGGATCTCCTATTTGTGGCGTATGAAGTAGAACCGAACACCTTATAAGTACAATTTACTAGTCTCCTGACGAAGACTTAGGGCTTTTTGGCAGTGCGTAACGAATAAAATAATAATAATAAAAAAATGAGCAGGTCTTCATCAACAGGTGGAAGAGAGTTTACTGGGAAAGTAATACCCATCATTAGCACAAATGTCAGGAAACAGTTCAAAGCCGACTTATAGGTGGCTAAAGTTCTAGCACTAAGGACTGCATTCCATAAACAGTCCACCTATATTATCATATTATTATAACGGCTTAAACAACAGTGGAGCTGGCTTCATCGTTTTTTATAAACTATAATTCAATATATTAAATATCAAATTATCATAATGCGTTCATGATACCTAGATACGTTTCTTTGGTAAAGAAGAATTTAGGTATCGTTCATGGGCGTTCACGATGTAATGGGCGCTCAATTATAGCAGATGATACAGACAGAATTTACATTTACTGTACCAAGTACATGTACCATCCTTTACTATATGCAAGTAATCAGTATATAAGAGGGCAATGACTACAAAAAGTGAAGCTTGTAACAAAATTAGTAAGACTGTCAATTTTCATGTCGTTTATCCGTATCTGATAACGCGT